GCCAAAGTCAGGAGAGGCCTCGAGCCAAGCAACTGACCCTCAGATGTGGAACCTGCTTAGACTTGGACTTGCCCCTTCTACATTTTCTTAACACCCAACACCCACGCCGTACGTGTAATGGAAAACCACTCATTTTAAAACTTAGAACAGATGTAAGTATGCAGGGAGTGCACCACCCGAATTGTGGGACAGACGGGAACACATACCTGATGAGATGGGCTGACAGTGGCAGCAACAATGGCTCCAACCGAAGAGTTTTGGGACTGGGGAGTGTCCTTCTGTTGTGCGTGGGTGGCTCTGCGTCAGAACCAACCTGCCAGCATCTGAGAGGGAAACCTACAAAGGCAGGAATCTGTCTAAGGAGGAAGAATCAGACACCCCCCACTAACAGTGAGGGCTGCCGAGCGCAGGGCTGTACCCTGTCCCAGGCAGGAAACTCACCAGACCAGTTGGGTTCTGGAAAACAGCCCCCCTCTTCCATCATTTGTTGCTACAACCTCACAGAACTTAGGGCCCACTCCAAAGGTTCTGGAGTTCATCAGGGAAGCACAGCTTACAATTCAGGGTTAGGTCAGCTTGGAAACACTTGGGATGCCCTTGTCTGACCAGGCTAACAGGGCCCTTCACCCTCAGCCCGGGGCAGGAAAACTGCTCCTTCAGGAAGTGCGCAGCAGGAAGCCAGGAGAGGCCTTCCCCCAGGTCTGCAAACTTAGCTCCCCCGTGCCCTGCTTTTGCCGTTGCCCCCTCCCCCTCGCACTAACCCGAGGCTGAGGTTAGAGGTCCTCTGAGCAGAGACCCCAGGTGTCAAAGATGTGATCTCCTCCAGGCTCTTCCTCCTGAAGGGACAATGTCCCTCCTGCAGCCTCTGGGATAGGTTCCCTGTGCATCTAGCACACTGCAGAGCTGACCAATCCCACCGAAAGTTCCACACACCTTTCTGCAGGATCCCAGGCAATCAAGCTGTGGGGTTACAAGACCCACATTCATCAAGAAACCCTCACAGGCAATCACTAGGTCACCAAAGGGTCATCCACAGCTAGCCAAGGGACACAAGCCCACAGCCTCGTAGGCAGCGGTTCTTAGTTCAGGGTCTATAAAGCTCACCCAGGTCCTCTGTCACAGTCACCAGGGCTCAGGGCGGCCCAAAGTACTCAAGACAGCAGAAACCGCCCCTCCCTTCAGCCGGGATCAAAAGCGCACCCCTGCGCCTCGGGTTCAGACCGCAGGAATCGGCAGGCCGGCTCTGCTCTGTCTATAAGAGCCACCTGAGTTCATGGCCAAGCAGAGGGACAGCTGTCTGGGGGCTCCTGCAGAACTCACCCCTAGGAGGGGCACTGCTCCAAAAGGGTGGAAGCAGGGCTCAAAAGGGTGGAAGCAGGGCTCCGTCCACCAGATGCTGACAGCACATTACTGAACCTGTGGAAAACATACAACCCCCATGCTGGCCACTAGCCCGCCTATCACAGTCCCCACCCCGGGGCAGGAAGGAGCTGGGCATCTCTGGAGCCAGCCAGCTTTCCTCATACCATCTTTAGGTGCAGGGAGGGAGCAGCTTGGCTTGGGGAAGGGCAGGCAAGAAGGAAACCAGCAACCACAGGGTGCCTGCAGCTCTGAGCTCAGCCAAAGGGGACCTTCCAGATGCAAAGCTTGGCTCAACCTGCCAGTCCCACAGGCCCTAAGCATGGAATCCTGAGGGATGAGCCCACCCCAAAGGCACACCCAACCCCCACCTGGGGGTGGGGCATTCAAGCAATGCCTTTCTCCATCAATAAAAGGGCTTTTTCTACTGAAGTGACACCAAGCTCCTCAAAGCAGTCTCTCATCCGTCTGCAAGAGGCCAGGCCAGGCCTTCAGCTTTGATTTTATTCAAATCCCTTTTCTTCTCTCCCACCCCAGGTGTGAAAACCTCCCCATTCTATTACCAGGCACTGTTTTCCTGCCTCTCGGCCAGACTTCTGTTTTGAGCCATAAATTCCCTCCCTCCAGGTGGCTCTTCATTCATCACACCCAGAGGTTGGGGGCAGAGGTGCCTCCCAGGTTCTCAGCACCTCCAAGGTGTTAAGCATTCTGGCCTCCCCAGCACTCTGGGCAGGGAGGGGAGCTGGTGTGGTGGTCCAGGCGGGTTTCTGCCTTTGACTGCTGATAGCAGCCCCTGGCCGCAGCAGGTACACTGCACAGGCAGGTCCAGCCCCACCTGCCACACATCCCAGCCGCCTCCAGCCTTCCTCCCCTCTGGCGTTTCTGTGTGGTTCTGGTCGACATGACCTTCAGTACTCTCATTATCGCATGTGCACTGGCAGGTGCTTGCAGACCAGATTTATAAGGATATTGACCCTAAGAGGCAGTAACACCACAGTTTAAAAGCGAGAGAGCTGTGACCCACATGAGGACAGGCCTACAGTGCTGGAACATGCAGCATGAATGGCATTTATGTGCTTTTCCTCATGTTCCTACTTGCAGATGACTGACTGCTGCCCTGGCACCAGCACTAGGCTGAGCATGGCACGAGGGGCACTCAGTAGCTATATGTGAGCAGGTGGGTGAGCGGTCAAGACTGGAAAGCCCACCAACCCCAACATGGGCAACACTGCCCCTGACAGCCTGCTGGGAAAGTGGGGTGAAAACAGACAGGCCCCAGCAAAGTTTGGACCCATCACTGTGCATACAGTTCCTCATCCAGCAGCCACCAACAGTTCAACACCCAGTTCGACTTGAGTTAGGAATGACCTCAAATGTCAAACAAAGCACACAAATTTGAGTGCAGGTTTACTGTCTATGTGTGCTTTTTATAAATGAGACTTTTTAAATAGCAGGATGTATTTATTTATTTAAAAATTTAGAGATATTTCCTGATTAATAAAAGGAACTGTATTCAAAGTAACAAAAAACAAAGAAAGAACCCTACCCACCCGGTCCCTTGTCCAGCTCATGGCCGTGGGCACCCAGAGCCCACACAGGGCAGGCTGGCCCTCACAGAGCCTGTCCACAGCCAGTCTGCACCTGCCCACTCATCCTCTGAACCCAGAAGGCACCTTAGGTCAGGCCTGCACAGTGGCTGCCCAACATGGAGGTCATGTCCAACACGGTGCACACTCACAGGAGGGAGCACCACACCCTGCAGACACACCCTTGTGGGCACACACCTCACGCTTCCCGGGGGCTGACGCACTGAGCTGCAGAGGGTGGGCAGGACAGGCAGCCTCTGCAGCAGGCCGTCTGTAACTTCTGGGGGTGCAGGTCTCAGCGGGGCTGTGTGCAAGTCTGGGAAATAAGCTGGTTCCCTGATTCACCCAGCCACTCTGGGTCAGGCATAGTCACAGCGAGGTCCTTTGCTGGGCTTGCCCTGTGGAGTGGGGGGCTCCAGCACCCGGCCAGTTGGGGCAGAGATCACCTCAGTCCACTGGGAGGACAAGAAGTGTTGCTTGCTCGCTTGCGCGAGTGTGTGTGTGTGTGTAACTCATGGGTCCTGCCCTGTGCCCACCACCCAGCTCACAAACCCTGCCCTGTGCTTCAGCCAAGTCCGTTTCTGAGGCCCTGCTCTTCAGAGAGAGGCAAAGACTCATGTTGAGTTAGGGAGGGAGAACACAGAGCAGTGGTCCCTAGGGTGTAGAGGGGCTAATGGGAGATCCCCAAGTAACATGCTTCATGTCCAACTCCCCACGACCCACAGCCCAGCCCTGCTGGCAGCAGCTGCATCACTGGCCCGCAATGGGGAGGCAAGTCCTGGCTGTTTGGATGTAGTCCTGGGAAACAGGCTCAAGTGGCCTGCCAAGGATCCAGAGAGCAATCTGGTGACTCCTGGCTCTGAGCACTGCCCCTGCCTGGAGTCACACTTGCACAGAGAGCTTCTCTCAGCTGCCCTGCAGTGCGCCCTGCCTGCCGGGGAGGTCCCCGGGAAGGCAGTAGTCACCACGCATTGCAGCAGAACCGTGCTCCACGGGGTCACAAGGTTGCCTTCAGGCGGGGCACCCAATCCAGCAGCAGCCCTCCACCCCCAGGGACAGAGGGCACACCAGGTGCTACCTTCCCACCCAGGAAGAGCACCAGCCTGCCCATACCTTGGCAGCCACACAGTAAAAGACCAAGCTAGCGATGGCAGCTCAGGCCCTTTCCTGGTGAGAGACACCCAGGCGTGCTGTTCCCTCCCAGCCTGAAGGTGGGTGGCTGCGGACAGGAAGGGCAGGAGCAGCTAGAAGGGGGGCTGGCAGCAGACATGGGGCACAGAGGGGAAGAGCCACTAGGAAAGCCCGACAACCATATGATTAATGAGGGCAGAGGCTGCCTGGGCTTCCAGCCGCCCCAAGGGCAGTCCTGTTCACATGGCCACAGGCAACAAATCAGGGGGACAGGGCTTCTTCCCCCACGACTGTCAGGCAAGGTTCCTTTAAAATTGGCACCCACTGCCGGAGACAAACCCCGCTTGAAGAGGGACAAGTGTCCGAGGCTGCCCAGATACTCTGCCCATGGCAGAAGCCTTCCACACCCACGCACCCACCATGCTGTCGACTGTCACCTACACTCTCCTCTTACTGCCCAAGAGCTGTCCCCTCGCGCTGAGGCAGAGGGACTGCAGGGCCAAGGCACACCTGACTGAAGGTAGAGCACATGACGATTCCCCAGTGAGGTGATGGCTGCGCGCTCCTGTTTGGTGAGTTTAAGCAGCTGCTGGAAAGCCCTTCAGAAGCGCCCCATGTGTTTTTGCAGAAACGAAGACTGTTCGCAGCAGAACACCTGACAGAGGGACAGGTGTCTAAAGCAAAGGAGCTAAAGTCGTTGGACACATCCTGTCAGTTCTGTGATGACAACACCAGGGTGGTCCCGGTGAATTCCTCTGAGGGGTTCCCAGCTGTAACCCTAGTTTCCAAGGCGTTAAGAGTTGCTTTTAAGCTCTGTTAAGCCGCCTTTTCCTGAAGGAAGTGGCGCTGGCAGTGAAGCAGAGAGAGCCTCAACATGAGTGTCACTCTCACCCCAGCGCAGATGGCTGGCTGGCACCGGTCAGTTCCATGTGCTCCGTCTCCAGGTGAGGGGACTCAGAGGGGTAAGTGTTGGGGGCAAGGAAGGTGTCCTGAAGAAGGTCAGAGCGCCCAAGCAGCAGAGGCCAGGGCCACTGTGCCAGGGGCCCGGAGCTACAGGATACTAGCCGCTCTAGACGGTCCTGCCGGGCCTTGTCCGGCCGGAGAGCACCACAGAACCAGAGACAAGGTGAATCTGTCCCTGTGAGTGGCTCACAGGCTCAGACTCAGCAGCGCCTTCCATGTTCACCATGGTGGTCTGTTACACACTAACAGGGACACTGAGGTGAGGGGAGCCCACCTGCAGAGATAAGCACTGCTGTCAGGAAGGGGGACAGGACAGGGAGTCCCAGATGGCAGAGGGAGAGGCGCCTACAGAGAGGGGGCTGAGATGGCAAAGGTAGGGGCTGGGGCCCCAGAGAAAGCATGCAGGCTGGACGGGGCATGTCCTGGCAGTGGTGTTGATGCCCAGGAGTAACGTGGAAGAAAGCTGGGGGAGTGACCTAGGCCTGGCAGATGGGAGCAGACACTGGAGGGCACTCCAAGCTTGCAGAACCCTGGTTGCCCCTCACAGGACCAGCATCCTCACACCTGGTCCAATATGACAGAGCGATCACCTCCCTGCTCCACGTGCGTCTAGTGGTACCTTGTCGCAAACTGGGCTGGCCTCCCTCTCCAGCAGCCTGTCCAAGGCCCAGCAGCCAAAGCTCTGCACCAGCAAAGAGCCTGACTTCCACCTCTGTGCCCGAGAACCCAGAGCCTGGTAGAGGCTGGGGCCAGGCATGAGCAGCCCAGAGAGCAGGGGCGCCCAGCACTCTGAGCTGTGGGGCGACCAGTCATGCTTCCTGGTGGGCAAAGGAGAGCCTGGTCCAGGAGAATGCCCCGCCAGCACCCATCTCTGCAGTAAGGACATCTGACCAGAGGGCCCACTGGTCGAGAGGCCATGGGGGGTATGGCAGGGATGTGACTTCACAGTTCACATAGAGGGCAGGGTGGGCGCTGACGCCACAGCTGGGAGTCAGGCTGGGGTGTGATGTCACTGCTAGTGATCTGGTTGGAGATCTCATCACTGGAGTAGGGTGGTAATGTAAGATCACAGCTGGAAAGGATGAGAGTGTGACTCACAGGTGAGGCTGGGATGGAGGTGGGACGTCACCGCTGGGATATGGGTGGAGAGGTGATGTCAGGTCGTGGGAGAGGATCGAAAAGAGGTGACGACAGGCCCCGGCTAAGATGGCGCAACCCAGCCAGCCAGCTCCGCGCCCGGGGAGCAGCCACCACCCACAACAGGCACCGTGGTAGTCACGTGCGATGGGGAGAGCAGCGCGGACGCAAGGACAGAAGGTCAGCCCTACCTAGAGACGCAGCCACAGCCTGGACTCGCGCACCAACCACCGCCGCCGCCGCCGGGCGCGCTTCTGCTTCCGCTTCCGCACGGAAGCGCGGCAGACCCTGGGTGCGCAGGGGCGGGACTGCCCAGCGGCGCCTGTTATGCGCAGGCGCAGGCCTGCTCCCGCAGCGCAGCTCGGCAGGCCTTATGTGCGCAGGCGCGTTGGTCCTGTTGCCCAGCAACCTCGCGCTGCTTGATGCACAAGTTTGTGAAGAACGAACGTGATACCCGGCTCGCCCAAGAATAGAAAGATTGTCCTAACTGCAAGTGGGCAGGCTCTGGCTGGCTGAAAGGCATAAGCCCAGCTGAAGGAGCCGCTGCATCTGTTCCCACGCAGAGCTTGTGCAGGGGAAGGGAGACGAGTGGGGGGGCAGGGGAAACGGGGTGACGGCGCTGGGGGGCAAAGGTGAGAGGACCATGGCACTTCTGAGTCCAGGCTTTCTGAGAAACAGGAGAGGGCTGCCTTCAAGTGGACCCGTGAGACACAGACGGCTCTTGCGGCCACCTTCACTGGAGGAAGCAGGTGCTCCGTGTCCCGCTCTCCAGCCTCTCCGTGGGGCAGCAGGTGGGTTCCTTGGCCGCTGAGCGATGGGCCATGGTGCTTCTGGGAGTTGGCTCACGTCCCACACCAAACCCACTTCGCGCAGTGGCTGCAGACACTGTGGCCCCCTGTGGGGTTGTACATCTTTGCGGGAGCAACGGGCTCTTTCTCTTACTGTTCGCAGCCTAACGGGGAACTCAAGAGGCCACAGTGCTCCTAAGCTGGCCCATTAAAAAGCAAACAAACCCTGCCATGGAGTCCATGCTGATCCCCTATGTGTTTTTGAGACTGTCACTGTTTACAGGAGCAGAAAGCCCAGTCATTTTCTTACGGAAGCTGCTCGTGGTTTTGAATGGCGACCGTGGGGATCACAGTCCAACGCATCACCACTGCCCACCAGGGCTCCTAGCTGGGCCATGGACAGCATGAGATAAATAATAATCATCTGCTACTACTACTTCAACTTGCCAGGGGGCACTGGGTTGCTTCTGCCCACAACAGAATGACAGTCGGGATGGCTGGTGTGCAGCTGTGCAAGGTTGCAGCCACTGCGCATTCTGAGCACCTTGTGATGGCAGTAAGAGCTTCGGACTCCGGGGGTGATTGGAAACGGGTACACAGAAAACCAACAGGCAAATTACGTCGTTACCAGGTGCCATTGATTCGGTTCGGACCCATAGCGACCCAACACCAACCAGAAGGAAGCTCTGCTCAGTCCTGCACTGTGCGGGTGATGGCTGTGGCGTTAGAATGCACACAGGAGGAACAGCGTAGAAAGCGCAGAATGCTGCGTAGCCTTCTCGAGCGGGCCTGAGAAGCGGCATATCATTTTTCTATTACAATGGCTCCCAGCACACTGGTGAGACACAATGACCCCAGACAAGTCGGCTCTGTAAGTTTCCACATTCCTCGGCTTGCTCTTGCCCAAGGCAAAAGCCTGCCTCTTCCTCATTAGCACAATTTTATAACTTTATAAGGATAAGTTCTAAGAACAAGGAAATAAGGGCAGCTACAATTGATTGGCTTATGCGCCCTATATAAACGATGTACAGACAATAATAAAATAGATCTGCGCCACCAGAGCCTGGTCTCTGGAGTCTGTGTGCGGGCGCGGGCAGTGACCCGTCTCTCTCACTCCCCTGCATGCCGGACCTGTTCCCACACTGCACCACCCTCAAAATTGTCCTTATGTCTGAGCCCATTGTTGCAGCCACTGTGTTACCCAATCTGGTTGGGGCCGTCCTCGTTTTCACTGCCCCTCCACTTCCAAGCAAGATGCCCTTCTTGACCACATGTCCAAAGGATGCATCACAAAACCTTCACAAGCTTGCCAGAGGTTCTAGAAAATTATCTCAGGTAATCATCAAATACTGTGAGGATAAAACATTGGATAAGAAAAAGGATGGAATCACAGCATGTGACTCAGCTGTGAATACTAATCTAAAAATCGTCCAGTTACTAAAAAAAAAAAACTAGACCCTGCGTATGGTTAGCCAAAAGTTAGAAGGCACTCTGAAACTTGCTCTTAATCATCATAATGGAAGAAATGAAGTTAAAGAGCTGAACAGAAAATTTCCAAAGGCAGCTTGAAAAACAAGTAAAACTATTATAATGAAATGTACATGGCCTAGCATTAGCAAATCAAAATGGAAGAACATGGTCAGCATATCTTAAACTGAAAGGACTCAAGAAAAAAATTCAAGCCTCCCCATATGATCACTGAAGACAAATACGTGCATAAGAAAATGTGATGAAGAAAGCTGATGGTGCCCAGCTATCAAAAGATATAGCGTTTGGGGTCTTAAAGGCTTGAAGGTAAACAAGTGGTCATCTAGCTCAGCAGCAACAAAGCCCACATGAAAGAAGCACACCAGCCTGTGTGACCACGAGGTGTCAAAGAGATCAGGTATCAGGCATTAACGAACCAAAAATCATATCATTGTAAATTAGGGGGAGTGCAGATTGGGGACCCAAAGCCCATCTGTAGGTAAAGGGACATCCCCTTACAGAAGGGTCTCAGGGAGGAGACAAACCAGTCAGAGTGTATTGTAGCAACAATAAAACATACGACTTTCCTCTAATTCTTAAATGCATCCTCCCCACCCCCACCCCACCCCCGACTATCATGATCCCAATTCTACCTTACAAATCCAGCTGG